TAGACAAAATAAGGGGGGAAAATTGGGCTAGAGTGTGAAAAAATTTCTGCCTTTCACTGGAATAAAGTTAGTATTTTTCAGAGTAGATGATAACCCCCCACCCTCAGAAACAAAATAGTCAAAGAAAATTAGAAGAGGAGATAAATTGATACAGTAAAAAATATTTAAAAGAAGGCACTAAAGGAGGAGCAAAAATGATGTATATAGAGAGAATGAGTAACAAAATGTCAAACATGATCTGCTACATCAATAATTACACTCAAAGTGATTGTGTGAACATGCTCACAAAAGGCAGTATTAACACGGATATAAAGTAAGATTCAACGTCTTCTATGTACAAGATACATTTTAAATCCAAAGACACACAAGTAGGGCTAAAGAAAAAGGACAGGAAAAGATAACCCATGCAAACAGTAACCATAAGAACTGGAGTAACTGTCTTAAATATCAGTAGAACGGGCATTAAAGCAAGAGAATTACTAGAGATTGACAGATGTTTCATAATAATAACAGGGTCAACACACAGGGAACTGGAGCCATTACAAATGCATATGCACTACTAATAGCCTCAAAATAACAACAAAATATGAATGAATTAGAAGGAAAGATAGAAAATTCAGTATTAATACATGAAGGCTTCAGACCTCATTCTTGATAATTGATAAAAAAATATCAAGGATATAGAAGATTCAAAGAATGTTATTAAACAGTTATAACTGCCATATATAAAACATTATCCCCAGCACCTGCAGAATATATGTTCTTATTAAGTGCATATAAAATAGTCTCCAAGATGGATCATATTAGGTTATAGAACAGGTTTTGTTTTGGTTTTTTTTGTTTCTTTATTTTCTTTCTCACCAGGGATTGAACCCAGGGACATTTACCACTGAGTCACATCCTCAGCCATTTTTATTTTAAGACAAGGTCTTGCTAAGTTGCTTAGGTCCTTGCTAAGTTGCAGAGGCTGGCCTTGAATTTGTAATCTTCCTGCTTCAGCCTTCTGAGCCACTGGGATTACATGCATGAGCCACTGGGCCCAGCAGTTTCAATATTTTTAAAAGGATTGAAATCAATACATTGTACTCTGAACACAGCAGAGTTAAGTTAGAAATCAACAACAGAAAGAGACCTGCTAAATTCACAGATAATTGGAAATTAAATAATGTACTTTTAATATCTTATGAGTCAAAGAAAACATTCCAGGAAAAGCTATAAGATGGGAATAGCTGAATGAAACTTAAAATACAGTATGTCAGAATTTTTGGAGTGCGGCTAAATCAGTTAATGAGGAAAGTTTATGGCTTTAAATACCTACATCAGAAAAAAAGAAATCAAAATTTAAGCTTAAATCTTAAGAAACAGTAAAAAGCAACTATAAAAAGCAAAGTAAATCTTGGGCTGGGAATGTGGCTCAAGCAGTAATGCGCTTGCCTGGCATGCATGGGGCTCTGGGTTCAATCCTCAGCACCACATAAAAATAAAATAAAGATGTTGTGTCCACCAAAAACTGAA